AAAAAAAAAAAAAAAAAAACTGGAAAAAAGAAGAAGGAATGAAGCAGGATTTGGGTAGTGTACATGGAGTTTGCCGCGGAGTTCACGATCAGAGCGGAGCTTGACGTAAATACGCTCATCAAGACTCAACCTTATGAGATCCAACGGCTCCTTAACAGTGCTTTCTTCCTCGGTCGCCATTTCCGCTGTCTCCAAGCTCTGTAATCGCAAACTGAAGAGAGTGGGGTTTATGAGTCACCCATCCCTACAATCATCGGTTTGGGTCGAAACCGAATTTCAGTCCATAACCAAAATGCCAGCCTCAATAGCCCAATACAAATCATCATTTCTCCTTTCGACCCGACCCGACCCGACCCGACAAGGATCCAAAAAAATTTATCATTGGTCCAAAAATTCTCTCTCAAAATTTAGATTTTCCATTAAAAAAATGTATAAAAAATAAGATTTATAACATTCGTAGGAGGGTTCATCATCCTAGGGACACACGTTTTTAGATTAGATCAGGTTCAACTAAATGAAAACTTCGTGAGTTCCGTTGGTTTATGGAATTTTAGATCATTTTGAAAGTTCAACCGTTCCTTGAAATAAAATGGTTATTTTTTTTTCATCCCGAACTAAAAGTGAAGTAAGAATACTTTTAACTTTTTTGAAAGGATATTATTGAAAATTTGAAAAGTTAAACTTAAAGAATACTAATATTGGTTAGAAGTAAGATATGGAAAACGTGATTGTCAGATAAAACAAAAACAAAATCCCCTTTAAACTGGAAAAAAAAGGAAAAAAAAAAAAAAGGAAGGGAAAGACAAAAAGTTTACCCCTAAAGGAATGCTTTTTAACACGCAGTTGAGTGTAGAAAAACAGGAAAATAATGGCCCGGGAATCAGAGGGTTCAGCCAAAATCGAAAAAAAAAAACTGATGCTAATTCTAGTAGACGAGATGCTGTTCAAACATGTCCTATGATTTACACAGCCCAATAGCAGGAATCCAGTTTTTGTCATGATTTGTGACGTCAATTTATAATGTCTCCCCCCGGATCCTCCCATTCATTGAACCTGTATAAACAAAACCTACGCATTGCTATTGGCTACTCCGATCGGTTCCTTCNCGACCCTTTTCCCTTTCTCGATCGCCACGCACAGCCAATTAGCGCCAGGATCTGTTACTCTTCACCTCTTTGCCTTGCTTCCGCTCTCCTCCTCCTTTCTGGGTTTTGGTCAGATAAGTGCTTTTACTCCTTTGTTCATCGCTTTGCTTTGAAGGGCTCTTGCTCTTATCTTCCCCTTTTCTGATTTAATCGCTCTTATTAATTATGGGTTTAGTCATGTTTGAAGGGTTTCTTTTGATTCTTTTGGTTTCTGCCCAAATGGGGTTTGTTTGAAAGAAATTTCCCATTGTCTAGTGGGGAAATTTCGACCTGGGCGTGCCTTTTTTTCCATTCTTTATCAATAGGGATGATTGGTGATTTAATAGTTCAAGGTTCATATGAACAATAGGATTCTGGGCTATGCGTTTTTGGGTATGAGATAAAATGTTCTTTTGACATATATGGAAGGTAATTTATCACAAGGAGGGTTGATTCCAGGAGGAACCTCTTATGGAGGTCTCGATTTGCAAGGACCCTTTAAGGTTCATAGCCAAGCACAACACTCTCACGCCTTACACCAACAACATCATCCTCATACTCGTCAGGGATCTGCGGCCAATCCTTCCATTCAGGAGGGATTTTCACTTTCCATGGGAGTTGTACAAAATTGTGACCATGCCATGTCTTTGGTAGATTATAACAAGGGAGAAAGGTGTAAAAACTCGGCTAGTGACGAAGAGCCGAGCTTTACTGAGGATGGTATTGATGGTCATAATGAGACGAGTAAGGGGAAGAAGGGATCGGTATGGCATCGCGTGAAATGGACGGATAAAATGGTGAAGCTTCTGATTACAGCAGTGTCTTATATAGGAGATGATATTAATTCAGATTTTGATGGGGCTGGAAGAAGGAAATGCCAAATACAGAAGAAAGGTAAATGGAAATTGATATCAAAAGTCATGGCTGAAAGGGGCTATCAAGTTTCACCTCAGCAGTGTGAGGATAAGTTTAATGATCTCAATAAGAGGTATAAGAGGCTCAATGATATAATTGGGAGAGGCACTTCTTGCAAGGTTGTTGAGAACCCTGCACTTCTTGATCTTCTTGAGTATTTAACAGATAAAGAGAAGGATGATGTGAGAAAAATTTTAAACTCGAAGCAACTGTTCTATGAAGAGATGTGTTCTTATCATAATTCGAATCGACTTCATCTGCCCCATGATCCTGCTTTGCAGCGTTCTTTGCAGCTGGCTTTTAGAGCAAGGGATGATCACGATAATGACGAGCCAAGGAGACACCAAAATGATGATTTTGATGAAAACGAACATGATGAAACTGATGAACGTGATGATTTTGAGGAGAATTTTGCACCTCATGGGGACAATAGACGATCATTCGGGGTATTAGGAGGCTCAGTGAAGAGGCTAAGACGAGACCAAGACCATGATGATACTCATGCCTGTGGAAAATCCTTGAGTTCTCATGCTCACTCACAAGCACAGTTTGCTCAAGCTGATACAGCTCACTTAGAAACTGAAGGTATGAAGGGTTCAACATCGCAAAAACAGTGGATGGAGCTTCGTTTACTCCAATTGGAAGATCAAAAGCTTCAAATTCAAGTTGAAATGTTGGAATTGGAGAAACAGAAGTTCAAGTGGGAGAGATTCAACAAGAAAAAGGACCGTGAGTTGGAAAAAATGAGGATGGTAAATGAGAGGATGAAGCTTGAAAACGAGCGCATTGCACTCGACTTAAAGCAAAAGGAAATTGGCTCGGGATTTCATTGATCGGCTGCTATAATCCGAACAAAGTTTATCAGGTTGGAAGATTTTCTTTCAATTAATCTACTACTTTGAATCATTGAGCTGCTGTTGTTTATATATTTCTGGTTATGCGAGTAATGAGAGTTTTATTTGGGTATTTTTACATTGCCTTCATCTAGCATGTAAAGTTAGAAAGGTGACAATACAAATGGCTGCTTTTCACTGTTTTTCCTTTACTTATGTGGAATCTGTCGTGGTTGAGGAATATGAAGAATGGTTGATATGTGCCAAATTGATGCCATTTCTCTGAATTAATTCCACAGTTTTGGTCATTCTCTAGTATACAGATGATTGATTACATGTTCTACTGGATTATTGAGCTCTTTAAATGGAGAATTGCATACTATCATCTCTCAATGGATTTCGTGGTGCTTTCTTTGTTCATTTTACGTTTTCGATAGTCAAATATTCGTAGCTCCACCGTGCATTATGCTCATGGATCATCTCCTCTAATTCCCTAAGAGGCTTCAAGCTTCGTGAAAGAACAAAAGTCTTGAGTTATTAATGCCTCATTTGATAACTATTTCATTTTTTTTTTTTGTTTTGATCCATGGTTGTGGAATGAATTTCATTTTGTAGATAGAGAGGATGTTAGATTTAGAGAAGTTGTAGCATCTCTGACTCTGAGGTTGTTTTTCCCTTTTATGTATATTGATCATACAAACACATTTCACCATCATCCACGGTAACTTCTAGCCCTGCTACGAGCTCGCCCGTTCGCTCTGGGAATTCTTGCTTTGGAAACAACTGCTTGTATTCTTATATTCTCATTAAGAAATGTTCTTATGTAGATATCTTTATTTTGTCGTTCCTTTTTGGTTTGGGAGTTGTCAGGTGTGAGATTCCACTTCGGTTGGGAAGGAAAATGAAACATTCTTTATACGAGTGTGGAAACCTCTCCCTAGCAGACGCGTTTTAAAAATTTCGAGGAAAAATCCGAAAAGAAAAGTCTAAATAGGACAATATCTACTAGCGGTGAGCTTGGACTGTTATGTTAAGGTTCTGGTTCCGTTGGTTGTTAATACACTAACAGGTGGGAAGAATTAGTATAGTTTAGTGCAAGGTTACATTTTCTGTTCTTGGCACTGTTTGCTGCATCCATAACACAGTCATGAAATGCTGACTTTATCACTTGAAGTGTCATGAGAGTGAGCGTCGGAGTTCCATTTTAAAAACACACAAGCACGGTGGTGCTCGAACAAGTCGAAGCTCCCAAATCACATACTTTACAAACCTTGATGACCATGCTTGAAAATTATGAGTTAGTATGAACTGCATTGTGAGATCCCACATTGGTTAGGAGGAGAACGAAACATTTTTTATAAGTCCAAATAGGACAATATCTGCTAGCGGTAGGGTCGAACCGTTACATGCATAAAGATGAGCCCCTCAGCTGGGGTGAGTGTTGTTGTGTTTGTGATGTTGAAGCAGGTCACATAGCAATGGGAAGGCGGCAGGAAGGGTAAACCCTGGTGTGATGTATTCAGCTGGAGCATTCAAAGCTACAGATTGGTCATGGGGTGCAGGTATTAAATGCTCTTCCCTTTTTGTCTATTTTAATCATAATGGGCACCAAAAGTATATAATTAAAATAATATATACTTGAAATTTACATATTATTTTAATTCAAGGTTGGGACCTTATTCTAAAAAATATTTAATATGCTCACTCTCCTGGCAAAAGCATAGGGCATATTCATAAATATAGACATATTCCTTGGTTAGTGGAGTTTGTCTATGTTTATATAAATATCATTATTATGAAATTATGGTATATATAATATAGTATTTGTGACAAACCAAAACTTGTCCCTAAAGATATCTTATAAGAGAGATATGTAATTCCCAAAATGCCCCTATTTAATGACCCATATGCATTGTCATCTACCCTTCATTAAACACCTACTATACTCGTTCGTACGGTCAAATGAATTAATGAATTCGATTACTTCCCTAAAGACGTTTAAGTTGTCCGTCTGATTGCAGTATTGTAATTTTAGCTAAAAAGTCAAATGTTTGAATCTTCACGTTTTGTTGAACTAAAAAATATACTTTTTTTTTTTAGAGATTTTGGGGTTCGATGAGTTTTTTTTCGAAAGATTGTAGGTTCAATATATTTTCCATATATGATGTAACGTTCTTGGTGTGATAAATGTAAAGTATGGAGATTTGACCCTTTAATTGTAAAGAAATGAGTACCTTAATAGAGATGTCCATGAGGCGGGGCGAGGATGAGGCCTTCCCCGTCTCTATTCTCGCTACTTATTTCATTTCCCATTCCTGCCAATTCCTCATTTATTTTTGCGAAGATTAGATTCTCCATGAGTCTTATTTATTTATTTATTATTATTATTATTCTTTTAAAAAATTAAT